GCTAGGCACTGTTATTAAATATCGGGAATTTTTCCAGGGGGCACAGTTATTCCGCTAGGCACTGTTATTAAATTTGGAAAGTTTTCCGGGGGGCACTGTTATTCCGGTAGGCACTGTTATTCGGCACTTCAGAGTAAGAATCCCATTGCTTCCATCAGTGTGATAAAATAGTTTTAAGTGCTATCTCTTGGCACAAATGTATATTCCATCGGTGCTACGTCACTGCATTTTTATATAAATGCTTATTTTGATGTAATGCAGTGTCTTTTTTTGTAAGAGTTGTTGGCTCATTTATAACGCGTCTTCTTTATCTTCTTGAGTATTTCTATGGTTAATTTATTTATAATGCTTCTCTTTTTCCCTCATAGGTCTGGGGCATTTTATTTTTTGATTTGCTGATTTTTGTATAATGCATCCTTTTATTTATCCCCTCTCAGGAGTTTGTAGGCTCAGGAGACCCTGCAGACAGGAAGATGTTGATCACGAAGCAGGCGGATTGGGCCAAGAACATCAACGAACCCAAGGCTGCTGCCGAGATGTACATCTCTGCTGGCGAGTACCTCAAAGCCATCGATATCATTGGAGACAACGGATGGGCAGACATGTGTGTATTGTGTTTAGATTTATTTCAAAAGCCTAGTCTTTTTTAAGTTTTGGTAATCTTTTAAAATTTTATTAATTTTTGTGAAAAACATTAATGTTTTATGAAATACACCATAGAAGAATTAATTATTATCTGACCAAAAAACATACTTCAGCTGCACTTGCAAAACCAACTATTGAAAATTCACATTCAGAGCCAGCAGTCGATTAAATAATGCATGTTCAAAGCTGATATGTTAATAAGAAATACATGTTCCCATTCCCCAGGATGATAGACGTGGCCAGGAAGCTGGACAAGGCTGACCGCCAGGCTCTGCTCTTGTGCGCAGACTACCTGAAGAAGATGGAGCAGTATGCCTATGCCGCGGAGTGTTACCACAAGATGGGGGACTCCAAGGCCTTGATGGAGCTACACGTGGAGGCTAGACACTGGGATGAGGTACATGTGCATGTGTGTTTGTATATGTGTATGTATGACAGAGGTGGGATGTGTGTTATGCTGGGAGAGGCTGTGGGTGCAGTATGTGCATGTTGATGCATGTGTGTGTGTGGATTCGCAAATGTTGGTGACTGCATGTGTCTGACACTTTTATACGACTGTGTATTTGTAAATGAACATTAAATTGTGTTTCCTTTTGGTTCTATACGCCTGTTTATTCAGATATACTTTTTTGTCTATCAATCATTAAAAGTACTTTAGATATAAACATGAATTATCATGTGCAGAATCTTGTCCATCTGCATTTATTTTGTTAATTTTCTCTCAGGCATTTGCACTAGTGGAGAAGCACCCAGAGTTCAGAAATGACGTGTACATTCCATATGCACAGTGGCTGGCAGAGAATGATAGGTTTGAGGAAGCACAGCAAGGTATGCATCTCATAGACATTTCATCTTATAGTGTGACTTGTCTTGACATAACTTGTCGTGTCAGAACAGTTGAGATTTTTGTGTTAATGGCTCATAAGTTTTATCTTTATGTATTATAATTGGTTAACAGGCAGGACTGGCTTAGAGGTTAGAGACAAAAAAAAATAACTCCACCTGATTTTTCTTATAATCTCTTATAATTGATCAAATTTAATTGATTTTTGAGACAAAAAGTGTGAAAGTTGTAAAATGTCTATGTTTTCTTCTCACAGCATTCCATAAGGCAGGTATGCAGGGGGAGGCAGTCAGAGTGTTGGAACAGCTTACCCACAATGCTGTGTGTGAGAACAGGTTCAATGACGCTGGGTACTACTTCTGGAAGCTGTCAATGCAGTGTCTGGATATAGCTGGAGGTAGGAAGAATTGTTCTCAACAGAGTTTCTTTCTGTCTTTTTGTCTGCTCAATAAAATTCAATCAATTTCTAGTCTCCAGTTATACGCTTACTAAGTTTATATACTTGATGCTATGGAACTGCAAGTACTTGATATTATTTTCAGCGGTTTCTTGCTTTCTATGCGTCTTTGCATCAGGCCTTATTTTTTACTCATAGTTTTTATTTTTAAATGATTTATTTTGGTAAATAGGTCATTTCCTTTTGTGAGTTTCATTTTAAGCTGTGTGTGGGTGTTTGTGCATGTGCAGCTGCTGGTATGTGTAGCGAAATCTGACATTTTGATGAAAAGAAAACTATTTTTACTACACAGCTTTGAGATACTGCATTCATCCCCATCAATAAACTGAAATTATAACTTTTTCTACAGCATAGATGAGCTTTACATGCTATATGAATCGGTCATTTATTGTAATAAGACAGCCTAGTGAATGTTTACACTATAAATATTCAAGAAATAATTGTTGTCATTTTATTGTACATTATATTTTTATTTATATATTTATTTACAGAAGAGCCAGAAAAGAGAGGGGAAATGCTTCAGAAATTTCACGACTTTCAGAGGAAAGCTGACATGTACTATGTCTACCATTCCATTCAAAGATATACAGTAAGTAACTGAAGGCAGTGAATTGTTGTCCTCCTTTTGCAGTGACAATTCATATCCGAATATAATAACATTACTGTGCTTCAAGAAAAACCAAACAAATGTTCATGTGTAACATTGAGTTTACATATTAAATACATACTGCCAAGTGCTTGTATTGTTATTGTAATTTCCAGGACGAGCCGTTCACATCCCATCTCCCAGAAGCTCTGTTCAACATGTCCCGCTACCTGCTACACTGCATGATAGATGGGATGCCGCACGGGGTCTCCAAGGTGTATCCTTTACCACTAGCATGAGTAGAATAATGTACTGGCTCCATTTCACAAAGTAAGTTTAGTCAGCTTCCCTGACTAAGAACTAGGTTACCAACGCTACATGGTTGCATGCACATATCTCACCCTATCAGGAACAGTGTTATAGCACTCTCGTGGAAATCCTAGCCAACTAAGTCGGGGAACTGACCTAAGATTTTGTGAAAAATCTGCTATGCTGAAAGATATTGAAATGTAGGGATTGATAGCATTATGAAAAAATCTTTTTTGTCTTGAAAAATCTAAGCTAGAAAAGTGCTTTCATAGTTTTCAAGTAAAACCTTCAGGTTATCTTTTCTTGACTGTCAACCTCAGTGCTGCCCTCTATGCTCTGGCCAAGCAGAGCAAGTCACTGGGGGCTTTCAAGGTGGCCAGGTATGCCTTTGAAAAACTTCAGGCTCTGAGAATTCCTAGTCGATTCCAGGAGTCCATTGACCTGGGCAGCGTGACAATCAGATCAAAACCTTTCCATGATGCTGAGGTGAGTATGAAATGGTTTATAACAATCGGCGCACTATATACCTTTTTGTAGCAAAATATTGGAATCTATAAACCCATTTTTAAGTTTTCGATATGTTTTAATTGTTGCAAGTGGAGTTCACCAGTCTTTATCTCTGTTAAAAAAAATATTTTAAAATTTGGAATTCAAGAATGA